GGCGAGGGTAAAATTCAAACTGCGATTCTTCTTATTCGCAAGTTACAAGGTTGTATTTGCAACACCACGAGAAAACAGTGCCATGTCGCTCCGTTCACTTCGCGACCCCCCCCCCCCTCCCCTCCCCTCTTCCCGGCTTCTTACCATAGGCGATACACAAGATACTACACACCCATGACCGATTTTCAAAGCTCCATAACTCCACAGCAGAAAGAGTGGAGCATTGGCGACGTTTGGAACCGTCGCCTGAAGAGATTTCCGAAAACGCACTGTTTGACTGCGTTGGCATCCTCTTCGTCGTGGAACAATCGGGCTTTGAAAATCGGTCCAGGGGGCGTGATATCTTACGTCGTATCACCTACGGCATAGATCCGAGGTGTGTGACCGAAATACCACGGCATGCACCGGTACGAGAGCATCCCACACCCTCGGGCAGTAACTAAAACCCAACACACTCAAACGTATATTCCAGAAAAACAACACCAGAAAATGCCCCCCCCCCGCCATCGGGGTTGGGTTTTCGTCGCTTGGCAAACGACGTTGTAAAACAAGCCGCCCCCCCCGGTGTTTGCCATCGGGGTTGGGTTTCGTCGCTTGGCAACGACGTTGTAAAACAAGCCGCCCCCCCCGGTGTTTGCCATCGGGATTGGGTTTTCGTCGCTTGGCAACGATGTTGTAAAACAAGCCAATTCACTTCGTGAACTCGGCAACCAGGTTACCGTTTTTTTTTTTTTGCCTCTGTTTTTTTTTTGGCGGTAACCATAATGAGTGGTCGAGTAGATCATGTTGTGCGAGGTGGAGAAACCTCACTCCGCGCGATGATCGCACCACGTTGTGTTAAATTGGTCAAGCATCCTCGAGGCAGCTACACAGTGCTTACAACTGTCTCTGGAAGTGAAAGCACCAGAAAATAAATTAAGTCATACGCAGCTGTCATCCGTACGCAAGGAAGTAAGCACAAGATGCCGAACACCCTTAGCAGGATGCAGCTCACCCTTCACGCGACTCGCCGAATACCTCACGGTGCTTCGCGCTTGGTGATGTGAGAGTCTGGTCCGGTGAGAACCCGGCGTGCTCCGTCCCGGCTTTGTAGGGATGCGAGGTCAATGGTCTAACGACTACCGCATGCACGACTATGAGTACACCCCCCCCCCGCCAACATTGCATTGTTGAACCACCTTTGGCAAAAAAGGAAGGAATGATTGGACATCATCGGTGATCGGTCCCGTGGGCACAATGCTCCATCCTCTCGAAGACGTGTGGTCAATGGTCCAACCGCTAAGGCATGCAAAGCATAATGAGTACCCCTCCCCTCCCCCCCTCGGCACCTTGAAGGCCTCCTTGAAAATGTCCGCCTGTAGGATCTCCTTGGCCTTCGGCAGCGAGCAGTCCCTCCAGTGGGCCCTCTCGGGCATGCTCAGCAGCTTGGCGGCCACATCCCTCCCGAACTGGAGGGGGACGTGACGCCGGTTTCCCCTAGCGTCGATGTTGCCTCCCTGGAAAACCCGCGGCGGCGGCGGCGGCGGTGCCGCACACAAACGGAAAAATAAGTGCTTCGTGTATCGCATTTGGAGGGTATATAGTAGTGGTCCCGGTAGAATGCCGGTCGCCCGGTAGATGCCGGTGAAATCGTCTGGCACAGATGGAATATTCAGGTCGTTTCATACTCAGAACAAATGCCGATTGCCCGGTAGAATGCCGGTGAAATCGTCTGGCACAGGTGAAAAATTCAAGTCGTTTCATACTCCGACTAAAATGCCGGTTGCCCGCTATAATGCCGGCGGTGAAAAAAATGGCGGTGAAATCGCACCGGCATTACACCGGGACCACTATTACTGCAATGGTATAATTTTGTCCTTCCCGTAGCTCCGAAGAGGAGGCCTCCCGCCTTTTCCCTGCCTCAAAATACTACCGCTCAAGAGCCAGCCTCCCACTTTGGTATGCGTTTTACGCCCAAACCTCCTACCTCACATTCACCGTTTGGTATCCATCTAGTCTCCACGAAGGCCGGGCGGGGGGGGGGGGGGGGGGG